GTGTGTGTGTGTGTGTGTGTGTGTGTGTGTGTCTGACAACAGTGCAGCAGCAGCAGGAAACTCTCTTAGAGCAGAAAATGCAGTGCATCATTAAATGATTCATTTATTCTTGATTTCCCAGCATGCTTTGCTGGTCCCACGATGGCCGGTCATGTTCAGTGTGACCTCCAGGTGAGCTACCCCTCCAGGTGAGCTACCCCTCCCCCTCCAGGTGAGCTCCACCTCCAGAATCGTGATTTGGTTTGTTTGCAGGGTGAAAAAAGTTTCTGGATAGTTTGGACCCTCGGACCGATCACAGGAAGCAGAAACAAATGAAACAATGGAACAAACACATGAAACATGAACAGAACAAAGTGAGAAGAACGAGAGAAGAACAACTCTGGGAACTGAACCGGCCGTGACGATGTCAAAAGGCTCAAAGTCTTTTCACTAAATCCCTCGGTTCACATGAGCTGTGATGAAACTGCAGGTGAAGATGTGTTGGTGCAGAGACAGTGAGTCAGTGACTTCACTGTCACTGTAAATGAGGCGCGACCTCTTTTCTTTCACTTCCTCTGTTCACAGTGAATCGTGCTGCCGCTCTGAAAACAGACCGGTGAGGTCGTCAGCACTGAGGAACACACTGATACACACTGACGGGGTTAAATCAATGTGTGTTACATTTGTGTGTGATTAATTATTTTTGAAGTCGTGAGTATTATGTTGGCCTCACTGTCTCATGCATGTGTGTTTTTGCACAGGTAGGTACACATGTTTGTGTGTGTGTGTGTGTGTGTGTGTGTGTGTGTATGTGTGTGTGTGTGTGTTTGTGAGAGAGAGAGAGAGAGCGTGTGAGATAATCTTCTGTATAATTAAATTCCTGAGTTTAATGGGATTATATTCGGAGACAAGCAGCAACGTCCTTGACATCCATCGCCCTGGTTAGTCATGGGTGAGCGACTGATAGAGACACACACATATATATACTGTATATACAGGGAGAGAGAGGGGAGAGAGAGGGGGGGAGAGAGAGGGGGGGAGAGAGAGGGGGAGAGGATGAAACAAAGCAGCAGTGATGAGACCAAAGTGCAGTGAAAGACTTGTGAAGTGGGAGAAAGGGTGAAGAAGACGAAGAGCTCTGCATTGTAATTATGTCATTTTCTGCTGCTTCACCACAGGAGGTCGACTTCCACCTCAGCACGTCA